ACCCCTAGTTGGCTTGCAGGTATAGCAACTAGTGTAGAACTTATATAGTAATGTGTAAGTGGACTACTTAAATTAGGTACCAAAAGTGCACATGTAGCTAGTTGTAACCTCTAATGTAAGGTGAGCCTTTGGTGGCATGCCATGTTCTAATATACTTGAATAAAAACATCACATCTTCCAAGATAGGGACTTTAACTAAAAAAAAATATTAAAATTTAATAAATATTATTTTAGACTATAATTTTAGAATTATATATTTAAGAATTGAGCCTTATAGCTTAATAATAAAGCTGCTAATTTCTCATAGACAAAGTCAATAGTTCAAGTTAGACTGAATATAAAAATCTTAGAATTTTAATTCTGTAACCTATAGAGAATCAAATTGAATATGAAACCTTGTAGAAAGTTCCAAAATAAAGTACAAGAATAGATTAGAAATTCCTGAAAAAAAACTAACTTTGCGAGTAAAAGCATTATGTATGAAAGGGATATTATAGAAGGTTTGACTAACAATAGTATTGCATATATAAGTTCTTAAGAGACAGAATAGTACCAATATTACTATATTCAATTTATAAAATATTTGATTAGAAGAATAATATTATATAACCAAAACTAGAATAATAAGTGATGTAATACATGCAGAAAAGATCTGTAGCAAAGCATTAGTCTAACCAAAATTGAAATATCTTAGACAGGTATCTCTAAAGTATTCAATAAATATTCTTTAAAATAGTTGTATATCACAACTTAGATGATAAGTATTATACTTATATATAATAAGTCAAGGTTCTAGGCCTTCTTGCAACATTAAGCTGATAGTATATTAGTATATAATTAGCAATACATCTATAAGAAAGTCTACAAAAAGCATATATGATCAAACTATAGACTAAACTAACTATAGAAATATATCTAAAAAGGTATATAGTAAACTGCAGATTGATAATCCAGATCTTGATAAATGCAGCCATGCCACTAGGGTACTAAGAAGTAAATTAGACTGTATATATTAATCTAATAGCAAGAAGAGCAAAAAATCACTAAAATTAATCAATTTAGAAGAAGGATGAGTTATTTCAGATAGTAGATAGATGAACTGCTATTGAGTTAAAAAGATATGAGAAAATTCAAATATAATAAGATAATTTACAGCCTTTCTGGTAGTTTAGTAATGATGATTAAAATATATAGTAAAGGTTGCAAAATAGTGTATATAGAAAAATATAGATGTAATGTCACATTAAGTATCTAGAGCAAAAAGTAATCTAGTAGTACAAATGTAATATAATTATATATAATAGTAATGTAAAAACTAAATAAAGTATAAGTTACAATTTGATATTATAAAAAAAAAAAAAGAAATAATTATTGTCTGAAGTAAAATAACAGACTTATACTTCTATATCCTTTGATAACTAATAATTTGTTTTTAATTTATTTATATTAAAAATATCAAAAAGTAATTTTGTTATTTTCTAGATATTATGCCATATATTTATATAATAAAGTCAAAACTTTACTAAGTAAATCGATTATATACTATTAAGTAAAATTGTTCAAAAGATTAAAATACATATATCCTAAAATTTATATACAAATAGGTTAATTTTTACTAATATATTTTTTATTTATATTCAAAAAAATCAATTAAATTTTTTTTATAAATTTATATTTAGTAATTATAAAAAGTAAATATAAGGGTGTAGTGACTTAGTGAAGTGAATAAGTTGTCAACCTCCAAGTAGTAGATTGTGAGTTTAAAACCTACCAATAGTGAAAATTTGAATAATCACCTATGTAATACATAGACAGTATTATGGTAACAGCATTTTGTTGATCAGTTGGGATAGAATACCTGTAACTATGATTGCACCAGCATAATTGGCAGGTCACAGGGCATCTGTATAATCTTGATTATATAGAGGAATGCAAACCAGTACTGGGTGGTATAAACCTAAAATAAGTTCTTGTAGTCATGTAAATCCATAGAACTGGGAAACTGGAACCTACTTGGAAAGTTCCAAGTAGAGAAGTAATACAGATCTTTAATGGTATCACTGTAAAAGCTAGACCTAGGAAACAGATATCAATGTGAAGGAGCCAGACAGGCAAGAACCTTAAGTGAGAAGTACTACCAACCAGATCGCCAGAACTGAACCAAAGGAAAAGGATATCAGGCTGGCTCAATATACCAAGGACAGATCACAGTCCTATTAGGCTATCTGGATTGGGAGTCTGGAGTCAAAGCAGGAGTATACTATAAGTACTAGAGATATGCTATGAAGTAGGTACTAGAATTTGGGTAAACTCTACAAGGGCTAGCCTTGTTAATGTTCCATAAAGTAGGTAAATAGTTAACAAGAAGGTACCTTAGAACCTTACAGTTAGGTAACATATTCTGGAATGTTTAATGGCTTGATAGACATACAAATGAGAAAACTAAATGTTGGGTTAGACAGCACTTAGTTGTATGGAAACCAGGTGTTATTCATTTAGATATAGTATAAGGATCAGAGTATTTAAATAAATACCCTCCTAGTAGGTTACAGATATGGCAGCTAGTATAGAACCCTTGGGTGGACTACTTAAATAGGTAACTAAAAGTTATATATGTGGCTAGTTGTACACTTATCTTGTACAAGTCATATGTAATGCATTGACCAAAAACACAAATAAAGACAGTAGCTATCGATAATATTGGCTTTAATAAAATAAAAAAATAAAAAATAAAAAGTAAATATCAAGTAATAAAAATTATTATAATTGTATAAAAATTTTGAAATATATATATTTTAATCTTCTGAACAACTTTACTTAGTAGCATATAATTGATTTTCTTAATTAAATTTTATTTTGCTATGAAGTACTTATTATAAATTAATTAAAAAATAAGTTATTATAAATGCACTTATGCTTTAGACTTATACTAATTTTCAGTTTCTAGTATATTATAATATTAAGTTTTAAAAATATAGGTTAAATGCTACAGAAAAGAGAAAAATTAACAAATTTTTTAAATTTTATTTTTTTATATAAATTAAATTAAAATACAATTAAGATCATTTTTTACTTAAATTTTAAAAATAGTTTTATTAATAAAAGTTTGCAATATAGCTCTTCAAAATTTATAATTGCTTATAATTTATTATATAAAATTTATAATAGAAAAATAGATTTTTCAAAGATCTTTTTTTTTGTTGATTTTTCTCTTTTCTGTAGCACCTAGCTTATATATAAATTTATTATATAAATTAAATATTTTTTAATTTATATCTTTTTTTTTATTATGCAAATTATATTTTGTCTATTAAATAAAAATGATTTTATATTATATTATTATTTTATATATAAAATAAAATTTTTTAAAAAATTATCAGAATAATTATAAATAAGTACTTGTAAATATAAAAAATATAATAATTTTTATATAAAATATACTTATTTAGCAAGTTTATAAAATTAATAATATATTTTTAAATAATATAAATATAAAATATAAGTTTAGAGGTTTATTCTATGTATATAGATATAAATAAAATTTTTAAATTCTAAAAAAAAAATTATAATTGGACCACACAAATTTAATATTTTGGTTTTCATAACATGAAGCTTTTGATCAGACAAGTCCGGTCTCAGACAATCGACTGACTCTGTTTCTAAATATAGAGGCTATTTTAAGACCTTTCTAAATCCGTCGAATTTAGGTACGTATGTACGTATTAACGCTAACATTAAAAATGTTGATTTATTAATGGTATGCAGTGTATTCTTATAAATTGATCATTACTTCGGTGAATAGTTAGGAATAAGATTGTTAAATCTCTGCAGATTAATGACATTAGCTAGATTCATTGGAAAGGTTATAATACATCATATTATTTTATATATAATTCGCGTTTCTTTTCTTGACTTATTTTTCCTGTGATGACCAAATATTTCGATAAATGCTTCAAATCATGCAATTGTTTCTTGTTGCCACTTTAATTTTAAATATTGTGAGTATAGAATATACTCAATCTTCCTCACTTCAACAAACATCTATCAATCAGTTTCGTGCAAATGAAATCAAAAATGCATTCATATATGCATTTAAAGGATACAAAAAATACGCTTGGGGGCATGATGAGCTTCAACCAGTTACAAATACTAAAAGTGATAACTATAATGGATGGGGTGTAACAATCATCGATTCGTTGGATACTATGATCATTATGGGAATTAACTATAATGATTCTAGAGAGTTTATAAAGAATTTGGAATTTACTCCAAAAGGTCGTGGCGGCTCGACGAAAATCAAGCTTTTCGAAACCGTTATTCGATATTTAGGTATCATTAATTTCTTTTTTTGAATATATCACATGATCAGTGATTTGTTATTTTATCCATGTAATAGGAGGGTTACTTTCTGCATATGAATTGACAAAAGATGAGCTCTTTCTAAACAAATCCATAAAACTTGGCAATGTTTTATTACCTGCATTCGACACACCCACAGGAATACCAACAGAAATGGTGGATTTGGTGAAAAAAAAAGGCGTACCTGGTGTGTCAATTCTTGCAGAAATTGGAACATTACAACTTGAATTCAGGAGATTAAGCGAGTTGAGCAAAAATCCCATATATTTGAAAAAGGTTGATTGAATGATCACATCGTTATGATTATTTGATTATTTTTAGAATTTAATAATTTATCGTTTATTCCATAGGCTCAGAAAGTAATTGATATTCTTCAAAGAAAAAAAACTGAACTACCTGGACTTTATCCTGTTTTTATAAATCCATCTACTGGAAATTTTGCAACAAGTAAATATAAAAATAAAATAATTGACTTTACATCGATATGTATGTGAGTGATGCCAAATAAAAACCAGTGTTTGCGATTTGCTGCAATTGCTGTTTTCTTAATTCAGTATTATAGAACAGTATACATCAATCTGATTTTCATAAATTCTTAAGTTTTTATCTGGTATTACTCATTTTTTAATTCAACCATTCATATGCACCATGTGATGACTTTTTTAATTAAGATTGGGTGACCTGGGGAGGATTGGGTGACAGTTTCTATGAGGTAAACAAATTATTCTTTATTACCTTCAACTATAGTAAATATGGATAAAATTTACTAATTTTCGGTAATAAAAATTAATACGTACGTAGTACCTATTGAAACAACATATAATGGTTAAAGGTAAAACTTCTCAATATATTGATATGTGGATATCAGCGGTAAAGACAACTATAGAAAAATTAGTTTATACTGCAAAAAACTTTCCACATCTCACTTATTTGGCTCAATGGAAAAATGGAAAACCATACTTCGAAATGGGCCATTTGGTAATATTCTGTTTGATTAATAATCCTTACCTAAGTTTACTACGGTTAAATAAGTTTTGCTTATAGACATGTTTTGCTGGAGGAAATTTTCTTCTGGCTGGAAAATTCCTCAATAACACTTCTCTGATTAATCTTGGTCGTAAAGTAACCGCTACATGCTATAATACTTACATTGGAACTAATACTATGATTGGGCCTGAAGTATTTGGTTGGATTTCACCGAATGGTGTTACTAGCAGGAAGGTTGATCGGAAGCAAAAAGCAATGTACAAAAAACATGGTTTTTTTGTTACAGACGCATCGTATCGATTAAGGCCAGGTAACTATATTTCGAGTATGTTCTGATATTTTTTTATACAGTATAATTTAAATTTAAATATCACTTGTAGAAGTTGTTGAGAGTATTTTCTATGCATATCGAGTCACCCGCGATCCTAAATACCAGGTAGCAATTTATATTTAATGTTGAAAGTATTTGTGACATTGATATTCTAAATTGTAATATTGTTGGTTTGTTTCACTAAAGGATTGGGCATGGGGAATCTTTAAATCTATAAACAAATTCTGTAAAACTTCTACAGGATTTTCTGGTCTAAATAATGTTACTGGTCTAATTCGTGACTGGGATAACACACAAGAAAGTTTCTTTTTGGCAGAAACACTAAAATATCTTTATCTAACATTTAGCAACACTAATTTAATTTCTTTGGATGAGTGGGTATTTAATACTGAAGCGCATCCACTTAGGATTGGTGGTGCTCTTTAAATTATAATATAATGTTGCGGCTGAAGCTTGAAATTTAATACTTTAATATGAAATTTTCAAATTTTTTGGGGTGCTTTTTTTGGCTTTTTTTGTTTAGTTTGCTCATAATTCAGGTTTATAGTTTTAAATCGAGGTCCCTATTTTCCAGCTTCGGAACATATATAATATCATTTGGCTAGTTTATGGCTAGCTAAATTAATGTATACGTATAAAAATTATTACAAAACTGACCTGGATAGATTATTTTTAAACCCTTTATTATTAGTAATATTGTATTGCTTTTGTTGAAAATTATTTGGGAATTAACCAGGTAAAAAGAATACAGTATAGATTAAGGAAATCGGATTTAAATCCGAAGGTCAATCCGGTTCTAAACTCTAGGTGTGGATTATAATCATAACATGTACTAGCAGGGTGCCCTTATGTCAAGGCAGTGTTGCATAATTTACTGTAAATTATTTGTAAAATGTAAGTTACAATTTAATTTGTGTAAGTTACTATGTAAGGTAAGTTATGTAAACTTGTATGACATTCTAAATTTATAAATTTATAAATATATACATAGATAAAAATTATAAAAAAATCATCTCTTTAATATGCCTTGTAATAAAGAAACTTTCTGGGATGGTTTTAAAAAAATATCAATAAGAAAGAACAGAAACAGTGGAAATGTACAACTTGTAACAATTCATGGGTCAAAAATGAAACATGCATGCAAGAACATTACTATCATTGCAGTCTAAAAGATACTAATAATGGAATATCAGGTTTCATACCAAGTTTTGTGCATAATGATAACGATAATACTAAGATCATCAAACTTAAACAACAATCCAAAATAGAAAATTTTTTATTTAGGTTTACTAAAACTGATCAAAAAGAATTTAAAAGTTTATTAGCACATAGATTTTATTCTGCTGGTATTTTATTTAATGTTCTAGAAAATAATGATATAAAAGTTTTTTTTTCAAAAGCATTTCCATATTTTAAATTACCTACATGCAATTCCCTTTCAAGTTTTCTTCTTAATAGAAAGTACTTTAATATAAAACCTGTTGTTAATTATTTAATTAATAAAACATAATTTTTATGTCTTATAATGGATGGTTGATTAAACATTTGTAATGACTTAGTAATAAACTATATAATTACAATTTCTAAACCACTTTTTTACAAATCGATATATACAAAAGAGAATTATTATATTGCACAAAATATTGCAAAGAGAATAGATAAAGTGATGCAAGAACTTGATATCAATAAGTTTATAGCTGTCATTATTAACAATGCACCAAGCATAAAGACTGCATACTATATTTTTAAGAACAGATACCTATCGAAAATATTTTTAAGATGTTAGGCTTATAGAATTAATCTTTGAATTAAAGATATTTTAAAATTAAATTGGCCAAAGAGTATATTAGAAACCAATAAAGAAATTGTTAATTATTTTTAAAATTATACTATATCTTTAGCAGCACTTCATCATCTTCAAATAGAAAGATATAAACATATAAATTCTTTAGTAAAAATAGTAGATATATGATAAGGATTAGTATTTTATTATATGAATTATTTGTTACAGACAAAAAATGCAATTTGTTTACTATTAATTAAAGAAAATATAAAAATCGATTCTAATATAAAAATTTATTTAATAGATAATTTTTTTTGGCACAATCTTGGATATCTTTATAACTTTTTAGAACCTTTTGTTTAATTTATTAATGAGTTACAAGGAGATATATCACTTTTATTAATAGCATTTCTTAAGTTATGCTATTAGAAATAATAATATGTAATAATAATCATATTTCAACTATAGTAATTACAAAAACTATGAGATTAATAGAACATTGTTGGAATAATTTTTTGTATAACCTAGCAACTATAGCAGCATACAAATTAGACCCATGATATTGTAAAGAAATTTTAGATCCAAAAAAATAGGATGCTCCAATTGAAAGAGAACTTATACGTCTTACTAAAATAAAAAATGAAATTCAAGTTCTAGAAAAACTTTTAGAATATGTATGAAAAACTGATAGATTTGTAACTAATTATTTGTAAAATTCTATAAAAGAAAAACCAAATAATTGATAATATTTAGTAAAAGCTTAATACCTGGTATTAAGTAATATAGTATTAAAATTACTTTCAATACCTGTATCTTCAGCTTCATATGAGTGAAATTGGTTATTCTTTAATTTTGTTCAATCTAAATTATATAATTATTTAAACAATCTGAATATAGAAAAAATAGTATATATTTACTAGAATATTTAAGCTTTATGTTTTTTGAATTGACCATTCTTAGTTGAAGAATTAAGAAAAAAAGACTATTTGATCGAAGATAATATTGTTAGATCAGAACCAAATGAAATCGAATTAATTAAAGAAAATAATAACAATATAAATGATTTTTCATCTGATAGTTCATCAAATACAGATAACATCGATATAGATTATATGAATGAAATTGACAATTTAGAAATAAACAATAATATAAATAATTTGGATAGTATTGATGATATATACAGTATGGATTATATAAATAGTATAAATAATATGAATAGTGATGAATAAATAGAATGACTATATTAAATATGAGATTTTATAATAAAATTTAAATACTTTGCAATAGAGATTGGAATCACCTAAAATTTTTCTTAATCGTTTAATCGTTTAACTGTTTAATTTGCCAGCATTAAAATAATTCTGGCCCATGATCAACATAATTCTGCCTGGAACTATGAAGCAATTTTTAAACGATTAAACAGTTCCAATCCCTACTTTGCAACAAATTTGTAGGATTATAGTAGAGTTTATCAAAAAACATTAAAAATTCTTGGAAATATATTTAACAATCATAACAATCAAATTGATAATTTAAATGCATGATCATTTCTGAGACTTTTTTATACTAGAATTAAAACTAAAAAATCTCCTGATATTATATTTGAAATATTTCAAAAGGTAGCAAATAAAGATAATATAATTAAATTATTTTTACTGCTAAAGTTACTTAGATAAGTTATATGGTAATATTGTATTTATATTTTAATAGTAATATGTACTCCAACCAAATATTTATTACTATTTTTTATTGCTATTAAATTTCATCAATCTTAGCAATTTAGTTGGAGTAAATAAGTATATCAATATCTTCTTTGAAAAAAATTAGATGCTAATCTTTTTATTGATATTGCACAAGTTGGTTTAGAAATCAAATTGGGATTTGAAATTTACACTAGGGTTCTTTAGATCATAATAATAAATAAATAAATTTGATATT